GCCCCGCTGCCTTTCTCCAGCGTCTTCCCGGCTTCCCTTTCTCGCTCCGCGAAGGGCCACCGCGCTTCGTGTTGCTGTCGAGCGCCCTCCCGGGTTTGCCGCCGTTCGTGGAGACGGGATCAACCACGTTTCCGTTGTGTCCCCTCGGGGCTGGGGTGGCTCGGCCTGTGTGAGCAGGGAGCCACGAAATGCGCGTCACTTGATGTGCAGATTTAAAGTGATTCCGGTTAGAGGCACGAGGTGCCGGGGTTGAGCCGAGGACACCGTCTGAGTCCCCAGTCCTTTGGGGAACACGAGCGAATGCTAACTCACCTGACCTGCTAGTTTAGCGTTTGCAGCACAGAACTACTATTCCAGCTACTCTGTTCAGGTATGGCCTGGACTTCGGTGACATGACTCACCAAAACAGACTTAGTTACCACATGTACATTAGGGTTATGAAGTAGTGGGAAATAGGGTCTTCTGTGGTGAGGAGGGGGAGTCTGGTACGATAAAGGTCAGGCAGCACCGAAGGGAAATCCCAGCTGAACTAATGGGTGATCGTTACGGACTGTTCATACTGTTTTCTTCCGGAAGATCAGAAGCTTAAATAGAGCCAAGTATCGACTCCTTGGGAAGCACGTTCATGTGGCCTTTTACTCAGCGTAGGGTGTGCAGATGTGAGGCAGGGCTTGATTTGGAACCCACATGAATTGCTGTGTCTGCATCTCAAAGTTCCAGTCTTGCACCCGCAGGCCTACCGTGCTCTCCAAGGGCTGCTGTCACAGAACAGTTCACGAGCGGCGTGAGATGGACGGCTTGGCTGGACTCCTTTCTGCTCGCGTCCCCACCCGAGCCACAGGGCCCACCCCTCCCTCTCCCGGTCTCCGCTCGAACACCACCTCCTCCGAGCAGCCTGTGTCCGCCACGCCTAGAGAGCCGCAGTCCCACCCCCACCCCTCACCCTCCGCAAAGGGTTTTCCTTTATTCGCGCCTGATGTGCTAGGAGCTTTCTTGTTTGTGTCTGGTGGGCCTTGCCCAAGAGAACGTCAGCTGCGCCAAGCAGGTGCTGACCCTGTTCACCGCTGCGTCTCCTGCATGTGGAGGAGGCCTGCCACACAGAGGGGACTCTGCATGTGGCTTGCCTGAGTGGAGGGATGGGAGTGGTCTTTGGATGACTCCTCCTGGTCCACCTTAGCACAGCCTTTGGGTTTGTGATTCTTAGTCTGTAGCTGCGTCTGAATTACAGGGGGAGCGTGCTTCAGATGGCGAAGCAAGGGCTTGGGGAAGGGAAGAACCGGGCCCGGGCTCTCTGATGCACAGCCAAGACGGGGAGTGCTTCCTGGTGCCGCCTTTCCAGACTGTGCCCCGTCACCACCCAGGGAGGGGGTCACGAGGCCCGCAGGCCTGAGGAGCCTCCTCTCCGCCTCCTGTCTGTGTGTGACCATGCTGTCCTTTAAGCAGGATGTTGCGACATGTCCATCGTAAAGAAGGGGCCACAGTGTCCCTTGTCAAAGACATTAAACTGCTGACTGTCTAACTCGAGATCCATCTCAGAACAGGCAAGTTGTTTTGCAAAGAGTTTCTGCACATGGAAAAGAACAAGAGGAGTTATTGTAGATGCCTGTTAAAATGACACCTGAGTCTGAGGAGACCTCTTGGTGTGATGTCACAGAAGAGTAGCTTAAGGTTCTTGCTTGCTGACTCGGTGCTGTGTGACATGAAAGTCTTCCAGCAATAAACGTGATGCCATGGAATCTGGACAAGCTGATCTATTGGTCTTGCTTTCAGATGCTCACCTAACTTGGTTGAGCCAGCATGTCTTAAACGGCAGAAAGACAAGGCTTCAGTTGGCATAGCCTTTATTTGTATTGAAACAGATGATGGAATATTTGATGATTCTTAGCTCTGTAGGACTTAATTCTTCTAAAAGAAACCTTATACTATTGACTAGTGCTCAAAGGTACTTTCATTTGCTTGTGTCACTGTGAAAATTAATAGGAGTTCACATTTGTGAGGTCTTTCTAGTTTCAAAAGCAACGTGTATATGTCTTCTCCATTTATAAAAATTATTTTTAGGAAGGCATAAGTGTTTTTTCTCCCCATGTATTGAGGCAGCTGCCCTATCAAAACTGTATTGGTGAGTTTCGAAGGAGGGTGTGTTTAATCAAAAAGAGTTTTTCAGCTTATTCTTGCAGGGGCCCTCAGGATCGCAGACAAGGTGGAGTCAGGGAAGACGTCTGTGGTCGTGCACTGCAGTGACGGCTGGGATCGCACGGCGCAGCTGACCTCCCTGGCCATGCTCATGCTGGATGGCTACTATCGAACCGTCCGAGGCTTTGAAGTCCTCGTGGAGAAGGAGTGGTTAAGCTTTGGGCATCGATTCCAGCTGGTGAGTAAAGGGCCTTGGCTCTTGATGGACCCCGTGCGTCCCACGCAAGGCATGTGAAGCGATGCCCTCTTGTTATGCCATATGCATCTGCAGTCGGGCGTTTGTCTGGGGGTCGACCGTGTGGCACCTTTCTCCTTCATGCTGTCTGGTCAGAGTTGGGAAATCTGGCCACTGACTGTTCTGCAGCTCCCGCAAAACAGAAGTTGTGGGGTGTGTCCGGGGAGAGCTGTGATTAATAGTCACGTTATGACTCTAACATGACTCTGGTCTGGAACCGGGGCCTAGCCGCTGGGTGTCTGACCCGGCCTTTTCCGTGGACTCCACCGGGGAGCACCAGATGCCCTGGGTCTGGTCCGTGGGGTGTCCGCCTCCAGTGACAGTCAAGGTGAGCGGCAGCGGTTGCGGAACGCGGGGCACGTCTGGCTCCCCTCGGGCTTGTGGACCAGACAAGAGTGGCTCATCCAAGCCAGCCACACAGAGGAGCCCCGCTCACACGGGTCAGGGTCTGAAAAGTCAGCCTGCGACTAAGAAGGCAGGTCGGACGCAGGCCACAGCTGCTCTGCCACGCGCCCTGCGCTTCCGGGGAAGTTGGCCTCACGTCGGGCAGATTGCCGAGCTGCGCTGGGTGCCGGATGCGTGAGGCCCCCGGCGCGGTCGGCTCCGCCGCTCCCGCCTTCCGGAAGCGGGGGCTGCGGGCTGCGGGCCTTCCCGGGGCGCTTCCCAGGCGAGGGTCCGGCTCTTCAGGGTGCCCTTCCCGAGGCCTCCGCCGCCTCGGAAGGCCCACCTGGGGCCACCCTTCGGGCCCCCTCCCGCTGTGGAGCTTTTCTGTCCTCTCAGTAAATCTTGCTTTCCAAGAAAAAAGGAAGGGCCCGGCCCGCCGGAGACCTCTCCTCACAGTGACAGGGACGTCCATTCCCTTGTCCCCCCTCCCTCCTCGACGTGGCTTCCCGCCCCAGCCAGACGCCCGCCGGGGCCGCCTGCCCACGCCCGCCACGACGGGTCCTGCGGGCCCAGCGTCCCTCTTGGCTCCCTTCCCCTCCACTCTTTCCTGCCGTCTCTGGACCGTGCTCAGGCCCTCCCAAGGGTGGTGCCCAGATGGAACCACGGTTTCCCAAGTAGAGGAGTGGGGTCATGACGTCCCTTTGAAGAGATGCTACACTTTTTCCGTTGCTCCTTGTTATCCCTTGGTCGAGCATTCACGTGGCTTTCTTCTGTGCTTCTGCTCCACGCCGAGTCTGGAGTCAGCTTGGGTTGGCAGCCTCGTGGGCTTGGGCTTCCCACGTGCGTCCACATCTGGCGGTTGTGGTTGTGGACTTTGGAGCGAGGCTGGGACTGCTTTCCCAGGAAGGAGAAGCAGGGTCGCAGATGTCTGCGAACAAGGGCCGGGCGTGGTGAGAGGAGAGCCGGGAGTGGAGTGGAAGGTCGTGCTGGGGCTGCACGGTCAGCATCCTGCTTCCAGGTGAGGAGCAGGGAGAAGAAGAAAGAACTGAAGACTGGGCGGGTGACTGCATCATGGAGGGTGGATGCCACGCGTTTGTGAAAGGCTTGCTAGGACTGCGCTAGCCTGAGGCAGACACATCAGAGCCAGGATGCAGCGGGGTGCCCTCCACCCCTGTCCAGTTGACCACCACAGAAGAGCTCTGAAGCCAGGGTACGCGTGACCGTTATCACAGGGAAATTCAGTCTCCAGGACAGTGTCTGGGCTCTGAGGTCTGTCTTCCGTGACCCACCTCTTAGGATCTGGATTTCATTGATCAAACAACGTGGTAATTCCTACTATAAGCATGTCATGTCAGAAAACAGCTGGCGGTTTGTACATCACAGTGTTACAGAGATTTCTGCTTGGTAGGAATAATGGGTGATTTCTGTTTCCTCTGAAATGCTTTCAAAGACTTTTTGTAAAAAAACTTGCTGAAGATTTGTAGACTATTAACCAGCTATTTTAATCGGAAAATTATTTCCACTAAACAAATGTAAAATCCCACAAGACTCATATTTCACTCTCTTTGCTTCAGAGAGTTGGCCACGGAGATAAGAACCATGCCGATGCAGACAGATCACCTGTTTTTCTTCAGTTTATTGACTGTGTCTGGCAGATGACAAGACAGGTAACTTATCTGGGATATCTGTTCTTATCTCCTTTGAGCTGTCTGGTCAGAGTTGGGAAGCCTGATCACTGATTATCCTGTAGTTCCTGTAAAGTGCAAATTCTTGGGATGCGTCCAGGGGAGAGCTATTATTAATGGTCACGTTACGAATCAGGCTAAAGGTTATTATTGAGGGTGGTACTGAATACTCAACAGCTGGGTTCCATGAGTGTTTCAGTGATAATGGCCCTGACAGTGACTTCTGAGAGGCTTCTCCTTGGTTTTGAATGGCTTCAGCAGGCTCACCCAGGCGCTATTATTTTTTGAGTTGGAGTCTCGCTCTGTCACCCAGGCTGGAGGGCAGTGGTACACTCCTGGCCACCTGGGCTCCAGCGATCCTTCCGCCTCAGCCTTCCAAGTAGCTGCAGCTGCAGGAGTACGCTACTACGCCCAGCTAATTTCTTTTATTTATGGTAGAGACGAGGCCTCGCCAAGTTGCCCGGGCTGGAGTAGGACTTAATTCTAACTCAGTAAAAGTCATTTCAGAACCTAGCAGCTGGATGCAGCTCGTTGGTGGGTGTTAGTTCCTCTTCAAGGGTCCCTACTGGCCCACAGCTGACGAGGGGTTTGCGCTGCTTTTACTGAGATGCATCAGGAGTGTGAAGCAGGGCAAGGGCCGGCTGCTTCGCTTGGGCTTGGGTTTTATTTAGGAGCATATTTCTGCTGGAACGAAATACAAAATTAAAAGAAAAAGAAGGGTGCTGGGTTAAAGGAAGCATCATCCCGGATATAATTCTTTTTTTTTTTTTTTTTTTTTTGAGTTGGAGTCTCACTCCGTTGCCCAGACTGGAATGCAGTGGCCACTCCTGGTCACCTCAGCCTTGACCTGCTGGGCTCCGGCGATCCTTCCACCTCGGCCTCCCAAGTAGCTGGAACTACAGGCGCATGCCACCACGCCTGGCTCATTTTTTTTGATTTATTGTAGAGATGAGGTCTCGCCAAGTTGCCCAGGCGGGTCTCGAACCCGCGGGCTCAGGCAATCCACTCACCTCAGCCTCCCCATGTGAGGGATTGCAGGCTGAGCCGCCGAGCCCGGCTCTGGATATGATTCTAACATGGCGAGGCTGATGTCTTGACCCACAGTGAAAAGTGGACCCAGTTTCCTTTCATTTGTGAATTCGCCCCTTGGCGTGCTGGGTGGCAGGGAGGGGTGCTGTAGAGGGCCCAGTCCGCCCTCGCCAGTCAGTTCCTGTGAGCCTGCCTTAGGCTGTGTGTCGCCTACGGAAACCCCCCATCCCTCTGTGGACATTTGACCCAAGCCAATAGGACACTCCTTTGACACTTAGCATATCAGTTTTAAATAACCCTTGACGACTGGCAGAAAGCAAATATGCCATCAAAGGAGTCGGAGTGCTCCCTGAAGGCACGGCATCATTGACGGTTCTGTGCTGTGCTTTCCAAGGGCAATGCCTTGAAGGAGGCGACATGTCTGAATGTTGGCCAGTTTCTTACAAAGAAGGGCACTTAGGGTAAGTTTACAGGCTCACCGCCCTGCATGCGCCTGTCTCATCTGATCTCGGAAGCTAAGCAGGTCAGGCTTGGGTGGGAGTAGAGTACGTGACGCATTTCTTCCCTAGTAGTTTTGTTGACTTTGTTATGTGTTATATACCTAAAAACAGTTTAAGGCTGATTTTGAGCCCGTTACTAAATTAAGAGAAAACCAATTTAAATGCTTTTTGACAGAGCCTAAAATACTTTATAGTGATCTTTACTTCAGACGTCTAGTTAATGCTTTTCTGTGTGCTTTCTTTCTGAACATAAAGCACGCCAGCCAGAATGTTTATGAGCCGTCAGTGGCTTCATGAGTCGCGGAGCACTAGTGCAGAGACGTGAAAGCAGCGGGCTGGCCAGGACGGACCAGTCCCGTCACGGCAGACTCCATGTGCTCTGCCTCCCAGCCCCTCCCTCCCGGGCCAGGAAGACGCCTGGCAGGGCCCCGCCGATTTCAGACAAGCCTCCTCCTCTCCTCAGGCCTCATAGGCAAAAGCTGCAGTTAGTGTCCTGCTGCTCCAGCTTCGCTGTGAGGAGACGCCTGCCGAGTACGCGGTCTCCTCACGACTGAGCTAACAGCTTTGCCACCAGGATGGAGTCTCAGCGCCCTTAGGTCCTCAGGCTTCCCGTTCGGTTGAGGCCGCGTTGGTTAATTACCAGGCTGTGAAGACGCACGCAAACACAGGAGATGGCCTCCTTTGTGAAGGAATGGGAGGGATTTGGCAAAGCTCCTGAGAATGGATTGTCTTTCTGTTCTCACCTGCTTTAGTTTCACAGCCATAACAATTATTCAAGGCCTGTTATTGCCCTTGACTGAGAAATCTGCCATCTTATCCTGCCTAGAGCTTCCTAAAATTTAGAAGACTTCAAGGTGAAGTTGTTTTCGTTCCTGTTCCATTTATATGCAGTCTATACAATTTTTCTCCACTGTAAAGGTAGGGTACTCTCTAAGGAATAAAAACTTGAACTAGTTGGGTGCGGTGACTCACGCCTGTAATCCCAACACTCTGGGAGGCAGAGGTGAGAGGACTGCCTGAGCCCATGGCTTCGAGACCTTGACTACAATAAATCAAAAATTTAGCCAGGCATGGTGGCACATACCTGTGGTTCCAGCTACTTGGAACGCTAAGGCGGAAGGATTGCCTGGTCCCAGAAGGACAAGGCTGCGGTGGCCGTGAGCATGCTGCTGCACTCCTGCCTGGGCGATGGGAGTGAGACTCCAGTAAAAACAACAAAACTTGGAAGATGCATTTTCCTATTCTGCAGTCCAGCTAGTCATAGAATTTCTTTCACACAGAGCCCTGTAATTGGTACGATCTTGTATAGAGGCTAACACATAATTTTGAAATGTTACATGGACAGGATGGATTAAACTAAATAAGCTTTTTAACTTTCCGGAGTCTGTAATTCTTACTTTGACTAGTCCCCTAAAATTGTGTTGTTTGTGTAAAACAAAGACATCCCATCAAGCCCTGGGCCTAGGCCAGTTTCCCTTATAGAAAGACACTGCCAGAGTAGTGGTCACAAGGGCCTCGGCCTGAGGAGATGCTCCGTGCAGAGAGCAGTTGGGCGACTGAGTTATCTGCCTAGGGTGTTTATTTTTGTGTATGGCTTATGTTTTCTGGAGACGCTGTTGATACTTTTTGTGTCATTCCTGAAAACAAAACTTTGTTACAGATTTAAAGGGAAATCTTACTATGTTGTTTGTGGTCATTTTTTTGGGCAGAGAAAGACCAGCGTTGCCAGAATAGCCAAGTCAAAATTCAGCTGCCGGTTTAAGGTTAACAGGCACAGAGGATGCGGAGACATCATGGTCGGGCCTTTCAAACTCTTGCTGCACAAGGGCAGGAGATTCTGAGGGAGACTCACTTAGAACTAAGTGATAAAGCGACTTTTTCCCAGAAGACCCTAGTAATGCCCTGATGGGTTGGAATCGTACTGCTTTGAGTGTTTAACTTAACTTTAAATACTAACTCGAAGGGTCTGCCCACAACAGAGATGACCATGCTTGGACGGTCGTAATTTTGTGTTTGTGGCGTTCACTTCGCAGTTCCCCACCGCATTCGAATTCAACGAATACTTTCTCATCACCATTTTGGACCACCTGTACAGCTGTCTGTTTGGAACTTTCCTCTGCAACAGTGAACAACAGAGAGGAAAAGAGGTAGGCTGTGAGCCGGACCCTTGCCTCCACCACCCGCTCCCAGAGCGCTCTGTGTGGCAGGCGGCGGCTGGAGTCGTTCTCCTGGGTCCCATCCTGCCTCCCTTTGTCTCCCGCGCTGAAGCACACAGGCGTCCCTCCCTGCCTCTGGACCTGATCTGCTGTGACTTGTCAGTCCCAGACGGAAGGTGCCAGCAGCTCTGCTGAGCTCACGGGTCGGGGCATGGCGTCTGCCGAGGCTGCGAGTGGGTGGATGCCGGGGACGCCGGCACCAGCCTTTCTGTGCAGGATGGGGCTCCTTGAGGCAGGTGCCGAAAAGGAGCAGGTGTACATGTGAGTGAAGGGGCAGCTCCAGTCCCAAAGTATGTTCTCACGAGACATTTTCAGGTCGGTTTGGGGTTGTTTTCATTGTAAAGTAATACTGTGAAAAATCCGAACCCCGAGAAGGTATTAGTCAAGTCTCTCATTACCCCACTCCCTAGAGATCCAGTGTTGAGTGGGTTGGTCTTAAGGGACGGCGTAAGGATGCCATTTCAAGTTTTACGTGCCTTCTTTGTAACAGACGCCTGTCCCGCGTCAGCACCTTGAGCTTATGGCTCTGGTCTCCTCCGTCTCGGCTGTTCTTCTGCGAAATGTGGTCCAAGTTCCTGCACTCTGCTTCTGTATGAAGCCTAGTGGAGAGTGCTGGCCTGAGGCCTGCTGCAGTCCAGGTCTTGAGTCTGTCAACCCCTGTGGCCACTTGGGGAAGCCAGTGTCTGCTTCTGTAAAGTAGGGAAAGCAGGATTCCCTATTGTGAAGATAAGTAAACCATGCGAGACACCCCGAGAACTGCCGTGTATTAAGTGCTTGCTAGACCGCTCCACGAAGTAGGCGTGCGAATTTCATGCTGACGTCCTGTCCTCCGTGCCTAGCCTGCACTCCACGCCGGTGTAATGTTAGCTAATTAAGAACAGCACACCTTCATCTCTCGAGCGCTTTCTCTGTAGGATTCGCCATGTCTTGACTTAAGGTTTTTTTACTGCCGTAATTTGCAACATTCGCCCCTTCAGAGGGTGGCGTTTCAGTGGCTCTTGAGTGTGTCACGTCGTGCAGCCACCTCGGCCATTTTGGCTCAGAATGCCCATCACCCCAGGGGCCCGTCAGCAGCGCTCCCAGGTCCTTTCCCGTCAGCCCTGGCTGCCGTTGATCTTCCTTTTGATGCTGGGCAGACAGCTCTCCAAATGTGACTTTTCCGTGCGGCTGCTTCTCTTTAGTGTGTTTCTAAGGTCCACGCAGAGCTCCCTGTCACGTTCCTTCTTACGGCCGAGTCTCATTCTGGTGTGTGGAGGCGTTTTGCCCGTTCATTGGTTGGTGGACGATGGGTGTCTCGCTTTTCGGCGTGGCCTGCCAGGCTGCTTGGTCACTTTTGGAGGACACGTAGACCGTTGGCACGCTGGGCTTGGCATTGGCATCGCCAGACTTCCCACAGCTTGTGTGGCGGAGACGCTGCAGCCGCTGCTTCTTCCCACAGAATCTCCCCAGGAGGACGCTGTCCCTGTGGTCGTACGTCAACAGCCAGCCCGAGGACTTCACCAACCCGCTCTATGGGAGCTACACCCACCACGTCCTGTACCCGGTGGCCAGCATGCGCCACCTGGAGCTCTGGGTGGGCTACTACATAAGGTGGAACCCACGGATGAAGCCACAGGTGCGTGCTCCCCAGCGGCCTCGCGGTGCGGCCCCACACGCTTGTCCCCTGCAGACAACCGTCGGGACCCTCGGCGTGCATGTGCTTCCCGTTCTGCCCGCTGACGGTTCTGTGCCGAGAAAGCAGGCACCGCGGCGGGTGACAGGATGCCTGGTTCTTCTCCGGCCTCTGCCTGTGACTCTGGACAGCACGCTTCTGTGTTTTGCCTCTTCCCCCCCCCCCCCCGGGGACCCTCTAGGGGCCTTCTTTGACTAAGCGGAGACCTCGCTAGCTTCGCAGAGTTGGGCTTATTCTGGGCTGCTGTCCGTGCTCTGGACTCTCAGCGTTGCTCGAGACCGACGGTCTGCACCTGAAGGACGGGGAGGGGAGCCTCTGGGTGTTGTCTGTTGCCGTCTGCTGTATTTTCTTGAAAGCCCGTTTCCAGAGCATCCCCATGGCAGGCCACCGGGGACGGGGAGGTGGTGTCGGGGCCCCTCTTGTCTAATTTCCACTGCTCCCGCAGCTGAGCAAGCAGGCGCTGCGCCGTGCGGGCAAGGATCGGGCCGCGGTGTGGGCGGCCTTGCCCGGTGGAATCATTTAACGCTCTGCCCGTAGGAGCCTCTTCACAGCAGATACAAGGAGCTCCTGGCTAAGCGCGCAGAGCTTCAGAAGAAAGTGGAAGAGCTGCAGAGAGAGATCTCCAGCCGGTCAACCTCGTCTTCGGAGCGAGCCGGCTCCCCCGCACAATGCGTCAGCCCCCTCCAGACCGTCGTGTGAGGCCCTGGTCAGGGCAGCGCCACGCCACGCCACGCCACGCCACACGGCTGATGGGAAGTGCCCCGCGCTTAGAATGCATCTGCGGGGAGACAGTTGCTCTATTTATTTTAAGTCTCTCTGGGATGAACTTAGAACTGTAGCAGCGCAGGGGGCTGGAGTGAAATGACACCATAGGTAATTATGTAATCACACGATGAGGACACTAATCTTCTAAATACCCAGAGAGCGCCGAAACACGGCAACCCTGGGTTCACAGTGGGAACAAGTTTTTGTTATTAAAGGGAAAGTGCAGGCACATACCGTTGACGTAAACACAAACTGCATTAGAAACGTGCCTCTTGATGCAAGAGAGCTCACTGCACAGAGAACGCAGGCATCAGCCGACACTGACATCCCTGACATCGTGGACCTTGGGCCTCAGTGTCGACACAGGTCAGAGTCCTTTGATGCCTCCTTCTCCGCCGTAGGTTTTCCTTTTTTGGTAGTAATTGAGTGACCCGATCACTTTTCAACTTCCACATTCTTTGCACCATAAAAGGCAACGTCTTCAAGATACTATGGGGTAGCAGTAAGTGAAAATGATTGCTGTCGTTATTTACGTACTTACTAAAGACGTATTAGATGGCTTCTTAAAAATGATGCCTTACAGATGTGCTTGGGGAAGATGAAGGGGAGAGAGTAGTGGCTATCCAGGAGTTCAAAGAATTCCACACGTTTCAGATGAGCTTCCGTTTGCCTAATTGCCAGAAGCACCTTGGGGAGATGTTTTAAAAATTCATTTACCCTACTTTATTTTACCTAACTTTTTGGTGTGTCTGAATACACAGAAACTAATTGGCAAGGTTTTAAGCAAGATTTAAAATCCTGCTAGGACTGACATTTTTTCTGAAGTCTGTATAAATAGCTTATGGTAAGAAGTACTATGCTCAGATTTTACATTAAATACTTTTTCCTTTGGAAATTCTGTAATTCCACTGAATAGTTAAGTCTACCAAAGAACATGTTGCATGTAAAAAATGTATTACAATCTCATTGCCAGGAAAAGACATCTTGCTTCTTTGCTCGCCTGCTACAAGGAAGAGTTCGGTGCTGGTATAAACATTTGACTCTGATGTCTACTTTACTCGCTAAAAGAGCCATATGTAATGTACTGTAACAAACGAGCTTCTTGTCCCTGGGTCGTTTAATTAAAAGAAATTTCAACGGACTTTTAACTTTTGTCTAAAATTATTTGCCTTAAAGTTTTTGTTTTGTTTTGCAGAAATGATTAGGAATTTTTTGAGTCCACAACTAAATGGAAAAGTTAAGTTTGTACCCACACTTTCCCTCTAATACCCAAATCAAACAATCATTCATTAAAAGTACAGTATTTCTTCAGTTATAAATTTATCATATGGGTAATGAACCGTAGCCCTAGCTCTTGGTCTTGCAGTGAGGAAATGGAATCAAAATGATTGGTGTGACACTCGTAAGACGACTTTAACAGGGCATTCTGGTGGCCAGCAAGTCACTATTACAGCCAAGTTTTCAACGCCAAATATTTCACACATGTACTCTTCTTCATTCCACCATGCTCCTCCTTATTTTAAGCCTTTATTATCTTGATCTGATGCCACATTAAAATGCAGAGTGGATGAAAAGGGGTCAAGAACTGAAAGCTGCTGATCGTCTCTTGCATCCACTTCAAATTCCAGTCAAAAGCCAGGGAGGCCTCTGTGCAATGCGATGGCTTCTATCCAGAACCTTCCAGCAGCCTCGTGCCACCCTCGGCGGGATTTCCCAACATGGAGCGCGTGCATGAGCATTTGCGGTAAACCGCGGCGGAGCATAGAAGGGGACGAGAGCAGCGCGGCCCTTTCTGCCGTGTTCATCCACACGAAGTGCTGGCTGTCGGAGCTGGCCGCGTGCTGTGTGGCTCTGGATCACGTGGCCGTGCAGGAGCAGTTCCTTACAGATCAGGGAGGCTGAGCAGGCTGAAGCACCGGAGGCCCGGGCCTCGTCCCTGGTGGCCCCTCCGTGTCTGCAGCCTCATGCACCAGGGCTGCTCGGCCGCTCACAGCTGCCCCGGCTTCATCCCACCATGTAGCCTGGGCAACAGCTGTTCTCCCCCGTGACCAGTTCCTGCTCCTTAGCCGGGGCCACCAGTTCTTCCTCCAGGAAGTGACCCCTCTCTGCCACGCCCCATCTTCCTCTGTGCACACACAGCACGTGTCCATGGCTGTCACCACACTGAACTGAGATGAGCAGCTCAGATGTCTACCCTCATGCTGCAAAAACACCTTTCTCACTCAACGTGGTATCCATCCGTGTTGGCATCTTATACACAGAAGCCAGGCAGAACTGCAGTCCAGCTTGGCTTCAGTACAAGTGGATGGAGGACAACATATTCCTCCCTGTGAGCTCTCAAGAACACGGAGGCAGTATTTTGTTTCTAGTTCTGAGAGTCTCAAACGCTGGCCTGGTTATCTCAGTTTGGATCCTAGCCGGAGGATGGGGTCGGATTTAGGATCACTCAGTCACTTTTCTCCTATTTAAAACAAGGAGCCACTACAATTCAAATGATGATTACACAATTTAATGACCTGAAATTCAAACTAGGAGAGAACAAAAGTTTAACAGCCAAATGGTGGTTGAGACACAAACGTTCACCATGTCATGAGAGCGGTCATTCTCGTTTTCTTTCCATCTGTGGACTCTGTTGTGAATTCAGTCACGTTACAAACAGACTCATCAGAAAACTGCACACACAAACACAAGTTTACATACAATTTCAGGAGGTTCACAAATATCCCACAATCCATTCAAGGATCCTAACTTAAACACTAAATGCAGAAAGGATTGGCGAGCCCAGTGCCCAGGGAGCCACGACAACTCATGCTGGCTGGCTGGGCATAATCCCAGGACTCCCTCTCAGTCGATTCTAGGGGAGGCAAGAGGCAGTCCTTTCATGTGTGGTTCAGGTGTTCGTTAGCACGCTTGGTATCGTATGCCGTGAGGAAATTCAGTCAGGATGGGCTTAGCTTCTAGGTAAGCCTGGGAATAGCAAATATGTACTAGTGACTATGTTTTTCTCATAACCGATACATTAATATCCTATTTAGAAATGTATCTTTTGCATTTACAGCAACAGGTTGTTAAGGACAGTTTCAGTGTTTTCTTTAAAAAGGTGCTTTATTGACTTCAGTGGCAAACTTATAAAATGTGAGCATGTCTTGATCTGCTCAGAACTGTGATTTACATTACTAACAACCACATGTACGGTTCATACTGCATGCCGTCCATCAGTAGAAACAGACCCTCAAGGGCTTTTCTAAGTTTCAAGTTAAAAACCATGATGCCTTGACTGGAGAGCATGATTACCAACTGCATGGCATGACTAAGCTCTACATCTCCTTTCTCTTTCTTACTTTATTTCAAAATTTCATTTATTTCATTGACATTTGTTTATATTTAAAAAAAATGCTTTTATAATTTTTACAGGTGATTTGACTTAAAATGATTGCTTGGGTCTTTGAGTAATTTAACAGAAGATTAAAAAGTAATACAAACGCACTTAACATTGATCAGAGTTTGAAATGCCAAAAAGCAAAACAAAACAAAACATCCTCTTAAATATACGTATATATTTAAATACAGAAAACCTCCACTAATAGTAGAAACAAAGTATATTAATGGTTGCTCTGGAAAGGGGAAGTGAGTGATTGATGCCAGGGGGAGATTTAAAAGCACCTTCCAAGCAACTGCTGCCTAGGGAGAGCCTCAAATTTTGAAATTTTAAACCTAATTTTATTATATATAAAGAACTATTTTTAAAAATCACATCCCACAAGTAAAAAAATTGGTAATTTGTTTACAAAGTGCAATATATCAGTACAGCAAACTCATCTCAAAGAAACAGGTTATGTGTGGCTTCTCAGGCTTTGAAATTCCCCTGGTTTCCATTTAAATGGTTTAACATTTAGCCATGCTGTATACACAGCCTGTGTTCGAAGCTTGGACCCTTAACACCTGCTATTAATTAAGTGCAACAGAAGTGAGTATGAGACCTGGAAAGTCAATTGTCAATTGCGGACTGATGAGGTACAGATTGCTGGAGTAAGATTTATGACCTGGAACGTGTCAGTAATCCCAGCACACACTACCGCTTTGTAATGAAGTCTGTATGGTTTGCATGTCCTTCAGTAACTGGAGATTTCTCCTGCTTTTTTCTCCGGGTTTCAGTTTGGCAAAGTCTCTCTTACTTGCGGTCCGTGGGACCCCAGAAGAACGGCTGCTGCTGTTTCCCTCCTCGGCGAGAGTCTTTCTGGTGGCTTTTGGTCCCTTCTGCTTCTCTATCTTCTGCTTCTCCAGCTACCCAGATCACCAAGGCAGGGAAAAAGGAGAGCTTAATGAAAACATTCTCTTCTGACCATTAGTCTTTCACGTATAACTCTCACACTAACTGAAACGCTGAGCCATTCTAGGGTTTTTTGAAGGCCTTCACGTATCGACTGCACTAGTCATTTAGCACTCAGTGCTTCACGTATGGAACAACATACAAACAAGTAAACGAGGGTAAAGCCCTCAGTTCTGGTTACAACTGTGGCGGTGCTGCCACACTGCAGAGTGGGGTGAGGCAGAAGCAAGGAAGGCTGGAAGGAGGACTCGTGGAGGAGGCAGCCATCATGGAAGGATTTCGCGTGTGGGGGAGGGGAGAGGCATTCCAGCAGCTGGCCAAGAAGCCAGTGCCAGGCGTCACACGGAAGAGACGTCGTGGTCATGTGCTGATACCATGAAAAGGATGCTTAATCTTGTTCTTGGCCCTCATTTTTAGAATAAATAGGGAGGCTTATTTTTATTCTAGCTAACTACTGGTGGCTCACTGAAATAAAGTCTGGTGTTCCACTGAAACAAAGTCTAATGAGTACAAGCAACAGATCAGACCATCACTCCTGTAAGAGTCACTGGCTTGTATTTCTTTTTGAACCTAAACTTCGGAAAAGCTTAAAAATATCCAGGCTTTGGAACTGACAAGATCCAAGGCTGCATCCCAGCTCTGCCATTTACCAGTGTTTAGTATGTTGTCCCTGGGCAAGTTATTTCATTTCCTGACGTGTTCTGGGGAGTATGCAAGGACCCTCGGCCCAGCTTCCTCATCTCCTACACGAGAACAGTGTGCCCACTTCACACGCCTTTAATGAACACCGAGACGACACACACCCGCGCCGGGCGTTGTGTCTGCCATCCAACAGCCGACCCTGCGCTGCTCCCAGTCTCCTCATCTGAGCCCAGGTGCTGCATCCCCGTAACTCCTCCTTCCTCGTGACACCCAGCAGCACGGGACCCGAGACTTGGGCTTCTGAGACATACTTCACATCTGCCGCGCTCCCCCAGTTCCATCGCCACCCTGGCCCTGTGCTGACTACCTCGATGTCCCAGCTCCTCCCTCTGCACCTTGGTTCCACCGCCCTACCCCCGCTGTCACAGTCATCTCTTAAACGCACAGAATCGCGTTTCTTTCTGGATGAAACCTCGAGTGTGGCTCCACCACTGTACTTAGCAGATATACTAAACGGTCGGCTTATTTAGTAGAATGAGTAGCATAAATGCAAACAAAGATTTCCACGCAGTTATATCTGACTTAACCCTTTGGAAACAGAGACGTTCTGGATGCTTTTGAAAAGACCTGGACATTCAGAACCACTTAAGCCTGGACGTTCAGGCTTATTCAGGAAGCCACGGTCAGTGCTTGGAAACGAATCTCAGATGACGCACTCCGTGTCGCCACAAACGCGCGTGAAGAAGAGCGCCAGTTCTCCCTTTTCAGTCATCAGCAGCGAGTGGAGGGAAGCCCGGGTTACCTGCGTTTGGTAGTTTCGGACCTTCGTTATCTGGCCGGCCTTTGCCTCCACCCTCGCCACCAGCGCCTCCAGCTCGCGTTCCAGGTTGTCCTTCAGCTCCACGGTCGGCGACTCCTGGATGAGCTTTGCAAGCTGCTGCTGATCACTACGCACAGAGCAAGAGCGGGGCCTGGGTGAGCTGCCCGCCTCACTCTCAACAGGGTCACTCCTCTGGGTGTTAAGAAATGACTCAATTCTCTGAACAGAGCAACATATTTTTCACACTACCAGTGACAGCTTAAAAGTCGAAGAAAGGCACTGGAGATAAACGCGCGAGCTCTTAATTTCAAAGCGTCATTTATGTTCCTGTTTCCCCCAGAAGAGTATACATGTGTAGAGAGAAAACCTCAGAGAAGGATTTTCTTCAAATACACCCTAACTTACCAGTTCACTTTCACGTAGTCATGGTCAAGAGCAGACTGCAGATACAAGAGTGGTCCCATAAGAGTATGCCCCCTATTTTCCCTGTACCTCTTCCAAGTTTAGTCACACTGCTCACAGTATTAAGGAGAGAACGTGCTGTCCAGGTTTGCCGCCTCGGAGCAACAGGCCATACCACAGACGGCTCAGTTTGCTAAGTGCACGCTGTGTCAGCACACCAGCAAACGCATCGAATGATGCGCTTCTCAGAATATATCCCCACTGTCAAGCTCTCAGACAAGGAAATCAAACTCAAATATAAACTTTGGTCTTCAGAGCAGTTAACGGTATCAGAAAAGGGAGAGATTTTACCCTCAACTGTGTATTTTTAGAAGTCCCAGTGACTTGGTTGGTACAAGGTTTATGCTCAACAGTATCTGCTGAGCAAATGAAAGTAGAATTCATAAAGTCACAATTAAGTTTTGAAATCACATCTAATCAAAAGACAAAAACCACAAAGAGTGAAACTCACAAGCTCATTTGTCCAAATTCGTCCTGCAGCGTCTGCAAGACTTCGGACAGCTCCTCACTGATGCTGGTGGAGGAGGGAGCCGTTCCTGGGGGCTTCTTGCCTTTACCGCCTCGTGAAGAGGAGGAGGCCTGCTTCACCAAGGGGATGCTGCTGATGACGCGGTCGTTGCACAGAGCTTTACTGTGTTGCTTCATCAGATGCAAGACATGCTGGACATTGGCCACCACGGCATGGCTAGGACTCGTGGACTAGAAAGAGAAGAACAAGGGAAAGAAAGCAGAAGCTGGAGCCCATTCTCCACACCTGTTTTGACGGCCCCCCACCTTGCCCAAAGCCTGTGGCACCAACGTCCTAGTCTGCAGTAAGTCACTGATCAAGTCCACGCAGCCAGCTTGGAACTTTCCAACCCACCTCTTACTCTCCACACTTCATGTGGTCTATGGGCCCACTACTTTGGCTACAGGAAGGACACCCCAGCTGGCCTTTCTGCCCCCAGTCCTGACTCCGCACCGCTATCAGTTGCCCTCCTGAAATATGACTCTCATCTGCTGTGCTACTGGAAGCCTTTGTGAGGAATCCACGGACTCCAAGGCCCAGACTCTCCAGCGTGGAAAGTGGGGCCTGCGGCAGCGCTGGGTGCAGCTCACTCTCAGCCTCACGTCCTGCCTCTCCCCATGCCGCTCCATTTCTGAATCATATTGCAGATGGCATTTTTGTATGTAACAACTTGTATGCCATTCCTTAAAACCCAGGTCAAATATATCATTTCTCAAGGCTTCCCTAGAAGAGTCAAGTATCTAATGATCACCAACAATACTTTCTATGTATCTCTGTGTGTTTACAAGTATATACTGTAATTCTGGCTGCATATCTTCCACCTCTTAGACAGTGTACATCCAGGCGGTAGAGACTATTAGTTCATTTCTCTATCCTGCAAGAGTGGGAAACACTAAGTACATGTCTGTCATATAAACAACATAAAGAGGAACAACCGGGTAGCCTTCTCAAAAATTGCTAGTTTTTGTTTTGAATGCTAAACAGCAATCTCAATGTGGCATTCTAGCTTACAAAAGATGGCTGAGCTTACTTGACTCCACAGACATCAACAGAAAGCTTATTTAAAATGCAGAAAATTCCCAGATAGCACTCCAAACTCAACTGGTGTGGGGATGGGTCTGAGAATTTGTCTACGTCCTCCACTTGATTCTGATCAGCCAGATTTAGACACCACCGTGCTAAGGTCAACAGATATTCTTCTTATCTTAATGTCTACTGTTAGCAAATTGGATGCAGCAATATATCAAAGGTATTATCCACGACACCTGAGGGGGGTTGGCTGCAGGAATGCAAGGCTGGTCCGTCATTTGAAAACCAATCACCGCTATCCAATTTTCCTCATGAATTATATTAGCTATACTAACTGCCTGCTAGTACACTTTCAACATGCAATAAGTAATTTTTAAAAATTCTCTTCTTCCTGTTTTTATTCTCTCTACCTATCTATTTTGAGTTGGAGTCTCACTCTGTCACCCAGGCTGGAGTGCAGTGGCACACTCATGGCCACCCCAGCTTCGACCTGTTGGGCTCTGGCGATCCTTCCGCCTCAAGTAGCTGGAACTATAGACCACACCCAGCGAATTATTTATTGATTTATTGTAGAGACAAGGTCTTGCCAAGTTGCCCGGGCTGATCTCGAACCCACAGACTCAGGCAATCCTCTTGTCTCGGCCTCCCAAAGTGCTGGGATTACAGGCTGAGCCACCGAGCCCGGCCTATTATATTTATTAATGTACGACTGACCCTTGAGCAATGGAGGGGTTAGGGATACCGATCCCCTGTGCAGTCAAAACTTTGCATGTGACTTTTGACTCTCCAGATACTTGATTACCAACAGCCTACTATAAGACAGAAGCCTTACCAATACCAGTTGATCAACACATATTTTGTAATGTTGTCTGTAATATCATTGTAGTCTACCAAAATAAGCTAGAGAAAAGACAGTGTTATTAAGAAAATGAGAGGCCAGGCACATGGCTCGTGTCTATAATCCCAACACTTGGGGAGGCCGAAGTGGGAGGACTGCTTGAGTCCAGGAGTTCAAGACCAGCCTGGGCAACTTAATGAGAGACCCTGTCTCTTAAATAAACAAACAAAACAAGCAAGCAAGCAAGCCAGCCAGGAGTACTCCGGGAAGCTGAGGCAGAACTGCCTGAGTCCAGGAGGCTGAGGCTGCGTTGAGATGTGATCATTTCCCTTCATTCCAGCCTGGGTGACAGAGTAAAGCCCAGACTCAAAAAAACAAAACAAAAGGAGAAAAAAACCAAAGCTACCATTCAGTGGCAGCGGATCACCATGAATACCTTCCTCCTCGCCGTCGTCGTGCGGAGGAAGAGGAGGAGGAGGAGGAGGAAGAGGAGGTAGCGGCGGCATGGGTAGTCCTTCTGCCTTGGGCAGCAGAGGCAGAAGAGGACAAGATGGAGGGCAAGGCAGGAGAGGCAGCCACCCCACGCAACTTTTCAGAGTGCGATGTAACTTCTGTGCACTGTCATCTCTGACTTGCCCATTTCTCCAGCGACGTCTTTCTTCTACAGTGCGCTTCAGTTTCCGGAAGTCAAAGCAGTCTTCAGTAACCAACACCCTTCCACGAGGTCGGGCGTCGTTTCCTGACGCCGCCTTCCTGTGCCTTTCCCACGGCCTGCGCTGGTTCAGAAGCGCAGTCTCCCTCAGGTCATTTTCTGTCATTCTGGTGTTTGCTTCTCTTCTTTACTAATAAACATCATTTGCGGCTTTTTCCCCCTCCCAGAATGGGGTGCTGTGTATTAGAAATCTGTTCAGGCAGATAACTTTTCTCCTTGAGGATTTCCTTAGTGTCATCTGGGAAATTTGCCTGTTGCCTCTTGGTCAGCATAAACTGCTTCTGCTGTTATCTTGACGACACCCCCCCCCAAGTCCAGGTCTCACTTTGTCACCCAGGCTGGAGTGCAGTGGCACACTCAAGGCTCACTGCAGCCTTGACATTCTGAGCTCAGACGATCCTCTCACCTCAGCCTCCCAAGCACCTGGGACCACGGGTGCATGCCACCATGCCCAGATAATTTTAAAAATTTTTAGTAGACATGAAGTCTCACTATGTTACCTAGGCTGGTCTCAAACTTTTGGGCTCAAGCGATCCTCCCAAAGTGCTGGAATAATAGGTGTAAGCCACTATGCCAGGCCTATCTTGACATTTTTTAAGCCAGACCTCTAAAATGATCAAACCATCCTTTGCTGAAAGTAAATTCTCCAGCTTTACATGCTTCATCTTCTTTGTGCTGTAAGTTGTCATATAATGCCTTCATTTTTTCCCAAATCATTAATTAGAATCTGTAGGTATGCCTTTCTTACAGCAATTCTGCACTCATATAAAAGCTGTATTTTGGATATGAGATGAAGATACCCTACCGTTAGGTAGCCGCAGTGATGGCATCATGAATTTCTGTTTCTTCCTTTTAAAGAGACGGAGTCTTACCTCTGCCACCCAGGCTGGAGTGTAGTAGTGCAATCATAGCTCCCTGCAGCCTTCACCTCCTGGGCTCAAGTAATCCTCCCACCTCAGTCTCCTGAGGAGCTGAGACGACAGGCACACTCCGCCATGCCTGGCTCCTTTTTCTCCCCAGTGAATTCACTTATTTTGGAAGGTGGGCAACCATGGCTGCAGACCTCTCTCTACAGCACACAGCAAGCAATTCCACATTTCTTGTTGCAACATGACCTTGCTTCTTGGGGGAAAGTTCCAGCGTCTCTAGTGGCACTCTGTAGGGTCTCACAGTGCCTCAAGGTTTACACTACTGCACTACACAGATGGGGACCATGCAAGAGTTGCCAGAGATCCCTTCACTGTGACACTCAGTTCCTGGAGCCTACTGCATTAGCAACAGGAGGTGGCCACAAAAGCATCACAGCAGCAGTGTGTACTACAGTGGACTTTCGCGGTCATGATTTAACACTTGAGATCTTTTTACATTTCTCTCAATTACAAACGGCGCCGTGTGCAGCTCTGATAAATTGTAGCTTTTTAAATAGCAAACGTTAAACAGGCTGGTATCCACGTATTCATCGTTCCGGACAAACCCTTTTCTCCATTCCCGGCATTCCTAGGCTACGTTGCTCACCTGCAAGTTTTTTCAACTTGTCACGAGTCTCCCCTCACTTTTCTAATGTACTTATTTAAAAAAAAGAATCCATGTAAGTGGATCTGCACGTTTCAAGTCCATTTTGTTGAAGGGCCAACTGTACTTTTTTCAAAAGCTTCTCATCACTAATATTGTTTCCACAAGATTTCACTGAGGGCTTATAATAAATATAAGCAACAACAAAAAAACCCTCAAAGGAATTTACTTACCAAGCTGCTAAAATTTACAATACAGTTGGGTACTCAAGGAATCTAGACATGAAACAATCTGTAACACAAACAGCTCATAAAAAGTAACACAAACTAAGACAGTGTTAGGCATTTATCAGAAACCACTCAGTACTGGCTGATGATCGACAATATCATCACCTCAACATTTAAATGCCAATGAAACGTACGGTGCAAGGCTATGTGCGACTGCTTTCTGGAAATATCCCTAGAAATAATTTGGATGTGAGGAAATATAGGATGTGCTATCTATTTATTTAAATATCTACCACATATACTTTATTTTTTTTGAGTTGGAGTCTCACTCTGTCGCCCAGACTGGAGTGCAGTGGCCGCTCCTAGTCACCGCAGCCTCGACCTGCTGGGCTCCGGCGATCCTTCTGAGTAGCCAGAATTACAGGCATGTGCTACCACGCCCGGCTGATTTTTTGATTTATTGTAGAGAGGAGGTCCCGCTGCCCAGGCGGGTCTCGAACCCGCGGGCTCAGGCGATCCACTCACCTCAGCCTCCCAAAGGCGCGGGATTACAGGCTGAGCCACCGAGCCCGGCTTACTTTTTTCTTTTTTTAGGTAGAGACAAGGTCTCACTATGTTTCCCAGGCTGGTCTTGAACTCCTGGCCTGAAGTGATCCTCCTCTTTTAGCCTCCCAAAGTGTTGGGATTACAGGCATGAGTCACTGCACCCAGTTAACAGCTACCAAATCTAGATATAAATCAACAGAACACACAGTAAGAGTCCAATGTGGCAAGCATACCTTTCTTATTGCCGTGACCTCCATCTGCAGTGACACCTTCTTCTACCCATGGCCTACTGCTTTGATCACTGCTCTTCCACGCACACACACTTCATCTGCTCTAAGGCATCCTCACTACCTCCTCCCCAAAGCCCAGAAAACCTTTTCCCATCTCATTCTAACATCACCAGGACCCAAACCGGTAAAGATGGCAGAAAAATGGTTCTACCATTTACAGACATTCAGACAGATGTGTGGATTTAATTCAGAGCTCTAAGTTGCACAAAAATATCCAGAGTTTGGCCAACTTACCTTCCCAGCCACAAATGGCATATCCCCCAAGCATAATCTGTAATGTGGTTGTCCACCAAAACAGTTCCGAGGACTTTTCTGAACAAAAAGAAAAAACAATTTTTATTTCAGGTGATAATAAAAACCGACTGTGTGCATGACTAACTTGAAACACGTCAGCTCACTTCTGGACTACTACTGCCTGCCTCACCTGTGATCTGTAACGCACATCCCAGCCTAGGCTAGGCTGGGAGGAGAAAGCACTCGGCAAGGCAGCAGTTACATTCTGAGCAGAGAAACAGTGTGCACACACATTTAACTCGTTAAGAGCAAAAGGCAACTCACTTCATACCGAATCAGGCTAATTTTGCACAGTGTTCTGTGGTTCCAGAATGCGTAAATACATTTTATCACCACCAGAATAAAAATTTAGGAGTAAGATGTTACTTATTCTCATCTTCCAAATGAAGAAAGAAACCGAGACGGAAGGAGATTTAGTCTCCCCAAGATGGACACGGAACACCACACAGTTTATGGTGTCTCATATAAATTTCCCCAAGTAATCACCATTTTGTCAGATTGATTCTGTTTTCATACCTTTTCTGGTGGTTTTGACTTCTTTTTTTTAGTTCTTCTTGTACTAGGAACATATGGAGTTGTCTTATCTTCAGAGATAAGTCTATTTGTTTCTAAACCAATCTGCAACTAGAAAAAATGAGAGGCTGAAGTGAATGACATAGAAAGAAAAGCTATGATTCAAATTTTAGATGTGCCATGTAAGAAGCCTGTTCACACCAACCAACAGTATCTGACTGAAAACATCACGTGTCTATCTCGAACCAATCTATCAACATTTGTCAAATATTTAAAATTAATACCAGTCTCTCATTTTATCTTGAACCGCTATTATAATTTATCCTTTTTTTCATACAGGAGCATATTAGCTCCACTAATTGCAGCTGCTCCATAAATTCTATCTCATGAGTTAAGCACAAAGTATGTAACTCCAAACTGATGGTGTAATATTTGCACTTGCTGGCACTCAACCCACCTCAGCTGCCTTGGCTTGCATGCGCTTCCTCTCTTGTTCTTCTTTGCGGAGTTTTGCTTCCAACTCTTGCATCTTTTTCTAATGATAAAAATATCAAAGAGATAACAGCAAAAAGTCTTAAGGCTCTATTTGGAAAAGGTTAAAACAGTATAGGAACACATGGTAAATTTTAGCACAGTCAATATAAGCTTGTGAGTTCACTCCAGTAATGGGAGCTCCAAGTTTGACACTCTCCTTTGAGTTCAATTATGAGTCATTTGTGAGGCAGCTGGACAGAATTATGGTACAATCTATGGCTGAATAACACAGCTCTGTATGAAGGTCAACAGGCATATGGAAGCTGAATCTGGAACTTTCTTCCCGGTGACATTAAATACCTCCCAAATGAAATAAAACTAAAATCAGCTCAGAGAACAGCTCAAATCAAGCGGTACAAGCCTTGAGGATACTAAAAAGCATTTAATTTTCAACATTTTCACAAATGACTCTCTCATGCCCAAAAGTGTAAAATGTGAACATTCTCTCCAAATTTAATTTTTCCTTTTAAAAACTCCTATATACTTTACCCTAAGATCACCTTTATATAAGTTATAAATATGCAGTGATATCAATTTGTGAAAACCCTGGTATGTGTCATTGAGTATCAACTGCATGCACTGACTTCTGCAAGGGCCTGCATTGTAGTAAGTTTGTTGTACTCCTGTTCGAGAAGATCCAGCTTTTCAAGTTGGCTCTGAACGTGTGTTTGATCATGCTGCCGTTCTCTTTCTAGGGAAACCTGAAAAGCAATATTAAATACAGCATGACAATCGGACAATCAAATAAACAGACAAACACTGAGCATATGTTAGAATATACTGTCTGATATTTGACTGGTCCTTCACAGACCTACTTAGATATGCAGAGAAATTCTAGGAAAACAACACTAAGATGAAACCACATGAGCATCAACAAGCGATTAAGTGGAATATTGTTCTTACTGCATATGTTATTTTACATAACATATGGCTTATACAGTGAGACTATTTTTATGCCCTGGGATAGCAGGGATTTACTGGACACACAGGTTGTGTACACACACACACACACACACACACACACACCTTCATTTAGCCTGGTCCTCTGAAGTAGTCAATCTTTTAATTAAGGTATTAATTTTGGTTTTGGTATTTAGCCTTTACATTTACTTTAAATTCTATGCAAAATATCGCTTTTAACTTTTTGAGGTTTAGAGTCAAAGATTTGCAAAGACTGTTTCCTTATATAGATTTTAAAAAAGGATAGTCACAGGGGAAATGATTAAACTAAGTAGAATATACTAAATTGGAGTCTATTGGTAAAAAGCTAAAACACTAGGTATTTGAACTTATAAACATAAATATAAGGCTATAGCAACAGGTATCCTACTAACAAAAATCTGAGTATGACAAAGCAATAGTTTTAACAAGAATTTGTGTGAATTAAGCCCCCCATCCACCCTACGGATATTCACAGCTTAACCATATTTTATTTCCAGTACTGGAGCCACTCTTAAGACACCTTTTGCGTGTGTCTAATAGTTATCTTCTAGATGAGCATTAGTGAAGGCATCTTAAAGTTGGTTTACTGTACTGACTCTTCTTTTCCTACCCTATCCATCACAGAAATATTAAACAAAACATAGCAATAACAATAACAGCTCAATATTGAGAGTAAGAAAGGAAAAATCTCTAGTTATAACAAAAAGGAAAGAACTCAAAAACAAATGAAGGGATACTGAGGTCAAACAGTGTAGGCTACACGCAGGTACCACTCCATTTTGCATGGGACTCAAGCATCAGTGGACTCTGGCATCCATGGGGTCCTAGAACCAGTTCCACTAGTTCCCATATGGGCATGAAGGGACAACTACATAGCGCCTTTGTTTTTTTTTACACCACAGGGTATCTAGCATGTTAAGCATATAAAATTCAAATTTTACACAATAGAGTTAAGCTGTCCATAAATTGTAGTATTTACAGTAAATTCAAATTCTAGATTTATAACAGGAAAAGGAAGATGCTTTAACAAAATATATTCGAGACTGATGTTGTAGATGTTCTCTCACACATGTGCAGGCTACCTAAAACAAAGAACTCTTGGTGTAACAAAGCAGAAAAATACCTTGCTAATGTAACAACTGCAAAGAGTTTTACAAAGTATTAAAAACCTTCAAATGTGTGTCTCACTTGAGTCTTTAAGAGGCACTGAGGTATAAGAGTATTTCTACTTTTAAAAATGTAGACTCAAAGAAGTTAACATGACTTTAATTCTTTGCACTTGGATGTCCTCTCTGAGGGGACACTGTAAATCTAGCAAAGCACTCAGATGTCTCCTCTCAGGGACATAAAGAGATTGCTGGTGATTATATAGGACAAACTTATACTAGCACACATTTTTCAAAAAATGTATCTTTCTTTGAAGTGTTCTGTTCAAACTGCATGATAAAGCAAACAAAGAGATGGAATATATACTGAGACACACATTAAAAAATATCAGCTGCCATTATGTGGACAGAGAATGTCCTTCCACTTCGTCTACGAACAACAGACTGGACAATAAATGACATATTATTAGTGTGGGAGGAAGAAAACGAGACTGCACTGTCTGTTCAAATAGAGAAACACCAGGTGGAAGACAGCAAACAAATTCCTATTGCACATGTATAGCAATGAACCTGCAACGTGTGCCAGTGAGTGTTTCATGTTACCACGTTAGAAAAATAGAAGATAAAAATTTTTGATTTTTTTTGTCATAAATAAGTTCCTCGATGCCCCAAATTCTGTTACAAGCCAAATGCCATTACAATAAAATAATTGGCTCCAACATTATAGTATTTAGTAGGAAATAATTCATTTTTCACTTTCGTAAAAAAGTGCAATCAAGTTGCTGGGAGGCAATCTGCGAGATGTCTCCAGGTGCAAAGGTTAAAATATCCCACAACTGTATTTTTCTCATTTAAGGAAAACTATACTGAAACAACAATAACAATAAAGAAAGTCAATCACATCTTCAGATGTCATCAATGATCTCAAGAAATTTCAGTCCTGGGCTAGAACAGCACCATTAGTCCTCACGGAAAACGAAAGGTCTGTTTGTATTCCTATCTGTTTTCCCCTATACCTGTTCTTGAGTATCAGTCTGTGAGGTGCCTTACCTGTTTCTCTAAGACAGATGTCCTCTCCATTTCTGCATGCTTTATCATATTTCGCATGTATTCCAATTGTTTTTCTAAAAGATTACATTTATTTTCAGCAGCTAATAACTGAGATGTCAATTCTAAGAATACAAAACAAAAGCACCAATTAGCTCATTTATAACAGTTTTAATAAGCTGTCAACAGAAACTGAGTCTACTGTGCATATAACATAAACGCTTCCCATAACCCTAGAAGCCTTTTCAGACTGCCAACATCATTCTCTTCGTATACGCCCGGCAAATCTGCCTTGCATTTGGTCAGTAAATACGATGCGTGAAAACAGTACTTGCTCCTCAAAACTGTACTAAGAGCGAGTGCAATTTTGTAGTGACTGGAGATAACGTCCACTAGAAAATACTAACATAAAATTTCTTTTAAAATAGTTTCATGACTTGGCCTTAGCCACTGCGCAGACCAGATTTTCCTCGCTCAAAAGCCTCTCTCTGCTCCCTCCAAGACCACGTCTGACAAACCCGAAATGGCCGAGATCGAGAAATTTGCTAAGTCGAAATTGAAGAAGACAGAAACACAAGAGAAAAACCCACTGCCTTCCAAAGAAAACGATCGAACAGGAGAAGCAAGCAGGTGAATCGTAATGAGGCCAGCGCTGCCAGTATGCACTGAACATCCCACAATCACTGCCTTATTGTACTTCTTTTAGCTGTTTAACTTGGCAAGATGCAAAGAGGCTGGATCAAGTTTAAATGACTGTGCTGCCCTTTTCCCATCAGAGAACGACTGACGACGAAGGCCGCGCCTGCCTCTCCTGTTTGCCTGTCTGGCTGGCAGGGGAGGAAAAGGGCTTGCCTGTTGGTGAAGAAGTGGGGTGGGACGGCAGTGGAACCTAGAGTCAATCCAACCAGCCCAAGGTGTCCTGCAGGCTGTCAAATGCAGTTTAATCAGTGCCATTTTTTGTTCAAATGACTTTAATTATTGGAATGCACAATTTTTAAAATACGCAAATAAAGTTTTAAAGCCTGAAAAAAAAAAAGAATATTTTCACAATATTTATTCTGACAAAATTTAATTTCCTTCATAATTAAGCAAACCTTGATTGTGCTTTGACTCCTCATTCTTTGAATTCTCCCTTTCTTGTATCTGTTCATCCAGTACTTTCTTATATTCAATTGTTTCTCTAGACAAGGTTTTCACACTTTCTTCTGCCTGAATTCTTTCAAGTTCCAAGCGTCGAATTTTATCTTGAAGATTCTTTAGAGCAGAAAAAATAGCTGCCAAATACAAATGTGAATACTGTAAGATAACAACATATATGGAGAACATATGCTGAGAAAGAATAAAGTAATCTAAATAAAAAATAACACTGACGGGGGTCTAGTGGAGGACCACTCTTTGGGAACAATAAAATGTTAATAATCCCATATTTGTTTTTGTAAAAATCTACTTAAAGACATGTTTAGAGTCTTTGAAATGCTCAAGTAAAAAAATCCAAAAAGCTAATGATACAAAATTCATGCAATTGTCCTAAAGTATGTTACGAACTGTCTTAAATCTTTTTTATTTTATTAACAAGATCACATGTAGAATCCAATTGTAAAGTTAAAAACAGTTAAGCACAACAAAGATTATTTTTAAATTTGCATTTTACCCACTCTCTAAATTACCCTTCCAAAGTTTCTGCTTATAAAATAAATACATATGCACTGTAGAAAATGTAGAAGACATAATAAAATACAATGAAGAGAAGAATAACCAATAATCCTACTACCCAGAGATAATGATTGTCATGTCTGGTTCTTTCAATCTTTTTCTACATATGTAAAATAAATTGGAGATAAAAATATACCCAAGTTTTGTTTTTCACCTTAGCGTTATTAAACAATGAGTATTCCCTCATGTAATCAGATAGTATTAAGAGATTATTTACTATGACTAGTAATTTAAAACCAAAAATTAAGTTACTGAGTCACAGAGCATGCGTATTTTAAAGATTCTGACACAGAGTGCTTGCAAAAGAGGTTGTATCAGTTTTATAGCTTTATACTTTCATCAGACGTATATGCCCTTGCCAACACAAACTATGACTAATTACAAAATCGCTGCCTCTGGTAACAAAAACATGCTATTTCTCATTATTTTGCATTTCTATTAAACTTTAAATATTCTTACATATATTATCAGCCAATTTTCTCCCTTGCGTTTGGTCAGTAAATACAATGCATGAAAACAGCACTTGCTCCTCAAAATGCACCAAAGTATAATGCAATTTTGCAGCACCCGGAGACACTGACCACTAGAAAATGCTAATGTCAAAATTTTTTGTAGAATAATTTCACAATACTTATTTTCTTTGCCCATTTTTCTATGGGAAAAAGTTTACCTTCCTTCTTTTCGTTATCTGCCCTTAATTCTAGTTTGGGTGCTAGTTTGGACGTATAGAAATTTTGGTTTTTCACATGCATAGATACCTGACATTCTTTCCCATCAAGATCAAATACTTTATATTTTCTTTTATTATAAGTTTAATATGTTTTTACATTTATTTCTTTAAATAAAAAGCATTTTTGTATTGAAGAAACAACTTTAAATGACAAATTTATTATATGCTAAATTCACACATCTCCCAATGCATATTAGATGCTATAATTATTACTTACACACATCCCCAAGACAGTTTCAGACCTTACTGCTAATCTGGTTTCACTAATATTATACACATATTTCAATGATCAAAACTTTGAAAACATCAATCCTGAGTCTCCCGTACTAACCTTTAAAACATTTCAAAACTATTCTTGTCAACTGATTACTCAGAATAGCTTTACCTAAATGTGATTTTAACTACACAATAAGTAGGGAGAACTGCCATCTTTTAAGAATCAAGTACTTCTTACTCAACACAAGGCAAAGCTGCCCATTTATTAACACAATTCATTCATTTCTCAATTTCTCAGTGCCTACTAGGGATGTGACCGTCCCCAAACAGGGCTGATACATTTTACAATGTAGTCAGCTTATTATTTCTGCTTGTATGTAATGAGACTATAATCTAATTGGAAAGAATGAAGACATGAAACACACACAGAACCTGAAAAAAGCTATGAGAATAGGAAAGTCTAGATATAAGATTAGTGTTAAAAGGAACAATTCTTTTATATACCTGCAATAATCAGATTGTGTAATCGAAAAGAGAAAATTTTTGTCTCTTTCAATATCCATTGAGATTTTTTAACCTCTTTTGAACTACTGAGGCATATTCACTAAAATAATATTTTGTAATAGCAAACGTTTCATTCCTTCATTAAATTATACCCAACAGTATATAATTTGCTAGTTTTTTATTTTTCTATCTATATTATTAAAACTGGCTGGAAAACTCCATTTTTGTTCTATGTAAGCAACTGTAGTTACCAAAGACCCACGGTAGGCAATGCGCTTTCCTGTTCTGTGTTCTTGAATGGCTTATATATGAGAATTATTTACTTTTCAAACATTTCTCAAAATTAATTCCCTAAAACTATTCGAGGCTAGAGCCTTACTGAGGCTTTGATGACATACACACAATCTTTATGTATTCAAATATTAATAGAGACTCAATATAAGTTACTATTAAAATCTACAATATTTTTATTTCTAATTGTATAAACAGATTTATGTTCTGTTCTTGCATCTCAGCATCTCCTTTCAATGTTCAACACTTTCATAACAAAGCAAAATAAAGCCTGAATATTAGCTCCTTCTCCCACTTTCCTCACTCCTCTTTTGTTAATCAATTTGAGTTAATGCTTAATTATTTTCATTTTTTGCTCAATAATGGAAGTATTTAAGATATTAATTTCCTTCAAAGTACCACAATCCCTGTTTAAAGGTGTGGTGCTTTACTGTTTTTTCAAGAAATACTTGAATGTAAGAATTTAGAAAAAACGTGATCAAAAACAAAAAACAGCCACACCTATACTCCTACAATCTAGGTATAATTACAAAAATTATCTTGAAATCTTTTGGGTTTTTAAAAATGCTTTTGTAAGTTAGTGGGATTGCCCTTAGCCACGATTTTCTATCATCCTTATTTCTGTGAGTCTGCTTTATTGACAACTCATCATATTAAGAGTTTTCACTGACTTTGTAGACAGTAGGCTTCGTGTACGCACTTCAACAAGCACGAGACAGGTTTGGGTCGATCTTCCAGAGGTGGCCGTTCCACCTACGGCCTCTTCCCCATAACCCAGGGCCAAGTTCTGCTTCCAACTACTCTCATTATGCCCAGCTTTCCAAAGGTGCATCCAGGCGCTGCCTCGCCAGGGCCTACAGCTTTTTTCTCGGGTACCCACCTACATTTAAAATCCCTGAAGGGCACGGAGGCCCACGCCTGTAATTCCAGCACTTCAGGAGGCTGAGGTGTAAGGACTGCCTGAGCCCAAGTGCTCAAGACTCACCTCAGCAACTTGGTAAGACCTCCTCTCTACAATAAATAAAAAAATCAGCCGGGTGTGGTGGCGTATACCTGTGGTTCCAGCTACTTGGAAGGCTGAGGTGGAAGGATAGCTTGAGTCCAGCAGGTTGAGGCTGCAGTGGCAGTGAGCGTTCCACTGCACTCCAGCCTGGGCAACAGTGAGATTCCAACTCAAAATAAAATAAAATAAAATCCCATCTTCTCCCCTACTGTACCCAACACCCAAGACTTTGGTCTAATGCCAAGACTTCTGAGGTTTTTGGGTTTAATTCCCTTCTTACCGCCCTAGCTTGAAACTCATTTTATTTCTGGCACCTGGGGATATCTCCTTCTAGAATTAAGCTAAATATTATTTACTGTTATTTACTATTACATAAAACTGCTGGTATTTGTCTATACTATTCCGTTTGATAGTAACTTTGTTGCCGGGCTCATTGGCTCAGCCTGTAATCCCGCGCCTTTAGGAGGCTGAGGTGGGTGGACTGCCTGAGCCCGCCGGTTTGAGACCCGCCCGGGAAACTCGGCGAGACCTCATCTCTACAATAAATAAAAAATTAGCCGGGCGTGGTAGCGCGCACCTGTAGTTCCAGCTACTCGGAAGGTTGAGGCGAAAGGATCGCCGGAGCCCAGCAGGTGGAGGCTGCGGTGGCCGGGAGCGGCCACTGCACTCCAGTCTGGGCGACAGAGTGAGACTCCAACTCAAAAAAAAAATAGTAACATTGTCATCCATCCTTATTATTTTATGGTCCCACTATCTTTGCCAATCTCTTACTTTTAATGTTTCATTTTGTTTCAGGTTTTAAGTATTTATTGACTTTTCTTTTGAATTAACATAATCATGTTACAGCTAATACATTATTTCATCATATTTCATGCTGCTTCTTTGAATGCTCTTGTTCTATTTTACTATTTGAGTACAGCATACACCTTCGCAACTGTTTGCCTGATGGAAGGACCTCTTTTTCTGGGTGTTTCCTATCCCTTGACTGCCTTCCACATGTCTGGCCAGCTGCTCCACAGGCGGCACTCAGCTAGGGGGTCCACAATGGCTGTCTTCTTGGGATACTTGTCCAAAAGGCTGAAGCCAGAAGCGGCTTAACTTCAACCTCAAAACCATAGTAGTCATGATTCCTGCTGTGTGGAAAAGGTTGGTCTGTAGCTAGAAAAATATGAAGCTAGCTGGAAGCAGGGACAAAAAGAGAGGGAGAGAAAGTGCCGGCCACATCGAAGCCCCTGACGTCCCTAACGTCCAGTCGTATACTTGCCCTGCCTGTTCTCGGTTGTTCTGTAAATCAAGATTTCTCTTTGCCAAAGCTACTTCAGCCAAAAGCTTCTATCACTGAGATTTTACCAGCTGTACTTTTGTTTTCTAAGTCCTTTAAAGAAAGACATCCAGTAAGAGAAAAATACAATGTGACTTTATTCTACTAGTGGCTACCAATACATTTCAAAGCACATAAACGTATACACATCCCTGAACACACTATGTCACAAGTGAAATTTATATAAAAGACAATTAATATAAGAAACATGGCAAACTTTTCACTTCATCTCCTTCTTGTCTACTTTTCTAATTAGGGATTTTTAGATTCAAATGATTGATTTACACTTCGTATCTTCAATAGTTAGCTATACTTGGCATCAGTTTTCAATTTTAAATTCAACTCTAACATGTCTCCTTTTTTGAGTTAAAAAACATTCCAGGTGATTAAATGATGAATCATAAGCATTTTTTTCCTTAGAAGAGTAGCTTTCTTTTCCCTTCTACTCTGCCCTCCCATTTATAAGAACATAGACT